TTAATGAGTTTGGGAAGCTGGACTTCTCACCCTTCTCCAGGGTTATTCCCTTGGAATGACTTTATAACCCTGGTACTGGCTTCAGACAGTTTCTCCTCAAGTGAGGTCCTGAGGCCTCTCTTACTTGACTCTATGCAGAGCTAAGACAGGACTAGGCTATTAGGCCAAGTCTTAATTAATGACTAAGAGATTTCTAAGGACAGCTACACAAAAACTAGGCAGGGTACAGGAAGATCTTGTCTAGTTTGTGGCTGTCCATCTGTCACGAGCTTTATGCCACCACCAAGGAGCCATGCTTAGGCTCTGGTTCCCATGTAAGTCTAGACATGGAGAACAGGATTGCCTGCTTTTGCCAATCTGTCAGATGCCTATAACTCCCACCTAATCATTACTATGTTCTTGATCTCTGGAAATAGAAATGTCTGTTTTGGAGGAAAACAGAGATCCAAGATCCAGATCCATAATTTGCAAGTAGGGCAGAACCAGGCTGCCTCTCTTCACCCTGGGATCTGATTCTCTCCTGTCCAAAATTGTCCAAGAATTCTGGACCAGGTGAGAGAAGAAGGCATAGCAGAGAGAAAGAAAAGTAGCAGATAAAGGGTGCTGGACATGAAGAGTCAGTGAGACATTGCTAGGGACAAAGTAGACATTGTTTTGAAATCATCTTCAAATAGTTACAATTTCAGAAAAGACATCAAATGTACAACATTGACTAACAACCATGGGATAAGGATTACTTACCAAGTAATATACATTACGCAAGTGTCAGTGGTAATAAATAAGCTGGGCAGAGATGGTGCAACTGAAGTTTAGTGAGAAGTTGCAAAGTGCTCATTCCAAAGTGCTCACAGCTTTTGCTATCTTGTTTATCTTGCTGATTCTAAAGCTAGTCTTATGCAGCTGACTTCACTTTCTTTATTCTTGTAGCATTTCTAACAGTTGTCACTTTTTCTCTGGAAAGTTGGTACTCTGATATGTGCCACTGGTGCTGGGAATGACCACCCTCCTGAGTTGTTTGTCACATCCACTCACAGAATGCAGTGAGTTGGCCCCTCTATCCTTGTAGAAAGGCATGTTCAGGCATGAGGGGCAGGAAAAGTGTCACAACAGACCAGCTGATTAGAACACCTACCAGTTAGGGACCCTCATGCAGGCTGGAAGTCTGTTCTCCCAGCTGCAGCCCCAGCATCATCCAGTCTCCTTGGAAATCAGAACAATGGGTGAACTCCATTGTGGGTGGATCAGCACATATATACGTCACCAAATTTGATAAGCAACTCCAAAAGCTAACTACTGACCATTTCCACAAGTAAAAGATATCTGCTATAGTTTGGAAATGACTTCTTCCTAAAATTTTCATGTGCTGGGAACTAGTCTCCAGTGTGACAGTGGTTCTTTAAGTGGATCTAGATTAGTTCTCATAAAAATGGGCTGTCATAAGTGAGTTTGGCTGTCTCAGTTTACCCTCTTAGGCTAAGTACCCCTCCTGCACATGTCCTATTCCCTTTCACTTCACAGAGTTGTGATCAGCCAGAAATCCCTCACCAGGACACAGGTGCCATGCAGTTTAGATCCTGTAGTCACTAGAACACTGAGCCAATTAAATCTCTTTACTTGGTAAGTTACTCAGGCTCAAATATTCTGTTATAGTAACACAGAACAGACTGAGGCAATATCAAAACACTGTTTTTGAACAAAATGTGCCAAGTTGGAAATGATCTCCCAGTTCTGAGCATCTCTCAACTAAACAATACATGCCAAACAAGTAAGAATGTCATGAAATGTGAACTTTCAGGGCATTTGACTAGTGTGAAGGAAAACAAATGGACGAAAAGTTAGTATTGTAAAGAAGAAAAGAACTGAGAAAAGTACTAGCTGGAATTGTTTTTTGATGGTCATTCTTTCTAGTTATAATTTTCCTAATATTCATAATGTTAAGTTTAGTGTTATGCAACACCATACCCCAAGTCTCTCTTGCTTTCTTGATATACTTCCAGAAATTAATGTTCACACTTGATTATATCACAAATCAATATTTTGGGAACAGTGTATGCAAAGTGCAACACTGAAACATCAATACTAAATAAAAGTCTTGATAAAATGGCCAGAACTTCATTTTTTCCTTTGTACGTTTCTTTTTCAAGTAATCTGCCATGAACATATAACTACTCTCATGACTAGAAAAGTCATTTAAACAGCCAGCTAATTAACACAGTACCATTTTCGATCTCCTAGTTTTTAATATGGGCATTGTCTATTCTTCCTTTGTTCCTTCTTTTCCCCTTTAAAGAGCTGGTTGGGGAAATGAGATGTGCTGCTATCATGGTAGGCCAGGGTCAAATTAAATTACTTTTGAATTTCATAAGGCTAATATTTCAAATTAGAAATTTCAGCTCACTCAACACATTCAAACACACTTGTGCTTGATGAAGCGTTACTTATGTGAATAATTAGCTTGAATAATGTGTGGAAGCAAGAGGACAATTTTTTAGGCATCGCTAAATGTTCTTCCCTTGGTACTTCTGCAAATGAACGCTGAGAGGTAGGGGAGGGTGTGGCAGGTGAGAAAGATTGTTCCTCTGTCCTGTGATCCAGCACAGGCTGTCTGCAGTGGCACATGCAACATTAAAAGTGGACTGAGCAGAAACGGGTACCCAGCCATCCAGAGCAGACCAAGTGCTCAGCCAGAAGAGTCTGCAGCCAGGTGACTATCACAGCACATCTTACAAATACTACCTAGTTCTCAGTCTTGCAATCTAGTATATGAGACACAGAGAAAACCTGTGGTGCTTGGGTGTGTGAACAGCCAGAACTCCACTGAGTTAACCAACTCAACCACTCAGTTATGGTTTCTATTCTAAAAAATCTACCATAATACAGGCAATCTCTTTACTACCTACTTCATTGCAATGCTATCTTTAAAAGATGATAGCTAGCTGAGTGCAAAAGCAAGCCGACAGCAGCAACACCATCATCTCTCTAGCTTTAGTTACAACTCAATCCAATACACTTTCCCACCTCCAGTCCCGGATGTTCAGAGTCTCTTATTTTGGAGTTAGACCCAGCTGGGGCTTGAAACTGGCACCAGACGTTCTGTAGCATTAGCAGATGGTGGAATCCTCCAGGAAGTAATTCTACTGTGGGTTTTCTATTCCCTAACCAAGTCTTTTAACCATAATGTGCTTTCTCACGGCTCACTTAGCCTTCCCCTTCCTTTAATCAGTCTCTTCCCTCTCAGCTCAGGGAAGACTATATCAGACAGACAGACAGACAGAGATCGTAATTTCATCTATCCCCTGCACACTAGTAGAATGCAGCATTCCTGTGAGATGCCAGAATTTTTTTCCCCTCCCCAGTGTCCTTTTCCTGAGCTTTGGTTTAAGAATCCTTCTTGTCGAGTGTGGTAGTGCACACCTGTAATCCCAGCACTTGGAAGGCTGAGGCAGGAGGATCTTGAGTTTGAGGCCAACCTAGGCTATACAGTGACCTCAAGGCTAGCCTGTACTACATAGTGAGACCTTGTCTCAAAAAACAAACCTCTTTTTTTTTCAATCTTACCTGCCAATTCTTAATTTCAAGACGATTGGAATCTTTACTAATCATCCTTTAGCAGGCACATGATGGGTTTGGATTAGGAATATTTCCATTGGTCTTAACTTTCCAGCTATTTTATACATGATTATTTAAAATAAAAAATATATAATAAATGTAAATTAAAAACCTGTTAGACATTCCCTGTGCTTCTGCAAACTTTTTTGGCTGTTTAAATTTTTAAAAAATAATAAACATGGAAATATTCCTGCAAAAAGAGAAAAAAAAATCCCTACCAAAACCAAAAGTGGAAGTTATCTTTAAAACCGTTACTCTGCAAAATGGGAATTTGCCTTGGTTTTTGCTTGTTTTGTTTCTGTTTATTCTTGGGCTCGCAGTACTTCCCCTCTCTACTCAGATGCCTGGTCCCCACTAGTCTGTGAGCTCTCAAAAATCTGTCCCCTAACTTCCCTTGCGCTTGAGTTAGCTAGCTTTGGTTTCTTTCAAAGGAAAAATATTAACCAACCCAATGGACCTCCATATCGGTTCTTCTCTTGTACTTGCAATTTCTAAAGATTAAATGGAGATAACAATCATCCAAATGTTATCTCCCAGATAAATTTTCCAGATTAGTAAAGTGGAAGTAAGGAAATGAGGAAGAGCTACAGAGGCAATCAGAGAATTTCAGCAGCATTAAAGCTGTGATGTGTATTCATAAGCTGTGAAGAAACATGGGCACTTGCACGTGTCTGCAACATTGAGGGTCAGGACTTTGACAGAACAATTTTTCCTAGGGCTTGGAAGATCCCTTTAATGAAGGGATCCAGCCTTGTAACTTCTGCCCTGATATCTTCCTAACTTCATGAGACATAAAGTCCACTGGGACCGAGATGCTTGGGGAAAGAGGTAGGGACAGAGGTCAGCAGCCCAAGGACAGAGCTGACTTTATAGTTCGTCTTAGATATTCTTGTATCTAAGGGGCACTCGAGTGCTCTTATGAGCACCTATACATTTGATGTGCTTCACAGCAACTCCACGTGAAGGCAAACAGGAATCTGTTCTCCATTTTACTGCTGGCAACACTGAACTTTAGAGAGATGAAGTTTTCCTGGGGTCCAAGGCTGAAAGCCACACAACCTGGCTTATAAAGAAACGCAAAGGGTAGGAAAACTACTTCACTGACCCAAGGGACAAGCAGTACATGAGCAAGGAGTTGCAGAGCTTTATCAATAGCTCTGTGGCAGTCATCCACCTCTGGGGTCCTAGGACGAGCTCCTTACCTTTAAAATGCGGGATAATACCTGGTTGTCTGAGGGAAACGTCAGGCAGGGAACCAGGTGTCAGTGAATCTTTAATGATGAAGAAGGGACAGAGAGGGGCGGGTGCTCTGGAAGGCGTTTTGCTGCAACAGACCCAATACACAGAAGCGCCTGCAAAGGGTTAATATAAGGCGCTCCAGACCTACCTACCTGGCTGATTGGTCAACCGCAAAAACTTTTATACTTTACGCGGGTTTTGGTGTTTCAACGGTAAAATAAAAATCAGGAAGAAGTCGGCCTTCCAGAAACAACCCGCTGTAGCCAATCCGAGTGGAAAATAGTTTTCTTTAGGATCTGGGTTGCTCCGATTCCTTTCGGCTTGCAGAACCGAAGCGCGTTATTAGAGTGAAAAATAGCGGCAGCTTGGAAACGTTCGTCATCAACTCCAGCACCATAGACAGGCATCCGCCCGCAGCCGCGGGCAACGGCTCCCTCGGAGCAGCGTCGCCCAGCGGGCAGAGGCGGCGGCGTGTTCAGGGCCGCCCTCCTTCCGCAGCTCCGGTGGCCGGGGGAACTCTGCGGGCGCTGGGAGGAGGGGCCGGGACTGGGACGGCACCGCTATTAGCTGGCTGCGCGGCGGAGGAGGGGCAGGGGCACGGTGATTGGCTGGAGCTGGAGCCAGAGGGGGTGGGGCCAGTATATCTGAGGAGTCTCTGTAGCGGCGCAGGCAGTAGGTGCTGGAGTGCGGCGCCGCCGTGGGGGACGGGGAGTAGAGCGGGCGGGCGAGAGGACGGCGAGGACGGTAGCAGCGTCCGCGGGGCGCAGGGCGGGCGTCTGCAGGGCGGCACCTTCCGAGGGCCAGCCCTTGGCCGAGCCCGGGACTGGGTTCGAGCCGTGGCGAGGCGACAGCACCGCGCACACCAAAGAGGAGGCAGCGGCGGCGACAGCGGCGGCCCCAGCCATGCTGTGCTATGTGACGAGGCCGGACGCGGTGCTGATGGAGGTGGAGGTGGAGGCGAAAGCCAACGGCGAGGATTGCCTCAACCAGGTGCGGGCTGGGGCCCGGGCCAGGGCCCCTACGATCCCCGCAGGCCGAGGGGCCGCGCGTCGGTGCCAGACGCCTGGGCGCGTCGCCTACCCGGGGCCGGGGGCGATGCAGCGGCGGCCGGCGAGCGCGCCCCTGGCCGGGCTGCAGCGCCCTCCTCCCGGCGGCGTGGGGCGCGCACGTGGGGCGCAGAGGACGCGCGCGGCGAAGCCCCCCGGGCTGGGGGCTCGGGCACCACTGCGGGCAGCCACCCTCCCCCGTACCCGCACTTTCCCGGAAGAAGGCGTCCCGCACACCTGCCTCAGGTGTGTGCGTGATGTTGCCCGGGGGTCCCGCGAGGCCTGTCAGCGCCACCCACGTCCCAGGATAGGTGGCACGAAGCAGTCCTGGCCCCCGTGGTATCGTGGCAGACAAGCCCGGCCGAGCCTCAGGCTGCTTCTCAGAGGGACCAAATTGTTTACCTGCCTTGTGGATTTGCGGGGGACGAGGGGCCAGTAGGTTTGGGCTGTCTAGTGCTTGGTTGTCTTGTAGCATGTGTTTCCTTAAGAGTGAAGAAGGGTTCCAAACAGGGCAGATATGCACAGCTGGTATGGCAGACAGCAAATGAGCTCCCAGTGAAGCGCTGTGCCTTCGGATCCCCTAGACCTGGGATGTTTGGAGAATCGCTCCTAAAGCTTGGCTGACACTTGTGGCATGTTTCCCAACGTGTTTGTTTTTTGGAATCCAGATGGTTAAAACTGTCCAGAAAACAAGCTGCCAAATCAGCTGGAGGGAATTCCAGTGATTGGAATGAAATTTCCCTTTTTTTCTATAGGGAAAAAACCCTATAGATTCCCCTCTTCCGCCTTTCGTGAAGGCTACTTTGGGGGACTCCTTTTTCCCTATTGCACTTGGTCTTGCCCTAGATACTCAGGGAAGGACAAGTCTTCATATTAGAGCTAGGTTTTAGCATCGTGGGAGCCTAGAACTTTGTCTTCCCAGTTTACAACAGGTATTGTGAGACCTTTCAAATTTGTGTAAAGAACATGGGTTACCTTGGCCTCGGAGCCCTTGGATTTGCCCGGATTATGGCTGCATGTACCGTTTGCTTATTCATCCTGCATTCATTTTTGTTTTAGGTGTGCAGGCGGTTGGGGATCATAGAAGTTGATTATTTTGGACTGCAATTTACTGGTAGCAAAGGTGAAAGTTTATGGCTAAATCTGAGAAACCGGATCTCCCAGCAGATGGATGGGCTAGCGCCATACCGGCTTAAACTGAGAGTCAAGTTCTTCGTGGAGCCTCATCTCATCTTACAGGAGCAGACGAGGTAAAGTGAGGCTGAAATAAAGCAATGTCAAATTCACCTTCCATTCCATTAGGAAAGGGACCCTTGCGACCTCTGGAGATGTTCCCAGGCACGTTTTGCTTCGTGTAGCACAGGTTCTTTGTAAGTTTTTTTTCAGCGTGTGCCCCGACCCTTTTGTTGAGGTGAAGGGGGAACTGCATTATTGGCCTAGGTGCCGTTTTCAAACCCTTCTTTTGGTTTTTCTTGTCTTTATAAGCTTAATGGGAAAACAGGGTTGAATTTTTACAGATAAACAAAAACAAAACAAGAAAAAAGCCCGTGACTGACTTCCTGATAGCAACATCTAATGCCCGATAGTAACCTCGAGTAGGCAGTGTTACTACAGGTCACTGTAGACTGTTCTAACTGAAAGCAGGAAACAGTTCCTCTTGGGTTACTTATACTTGGTCAACTTCTTCAGCCTAGTGTCAGATTACAGTGTGTAGCGGAGAACTCTGTCTGGCTTCATGCACAATTTTCAGAGTTTCTAAGTTTCATAAAAACTTAATAAAAGAATTCTTTGAAGGTCACTGTAATGGAATTTCACCCCACAAATATACTACTCACGATTGTTGAGTGTAGAATGTTGAATTCCTCTTTGTGTTGTAAAAGAGAAAGAAAAAGAGAAACTCTACCAGTAGTGGTAGACAACTGAAGCATGTGGTTTCTGTTTTCACACAAAAAAATGTGTTCTCGGGACTGGCTGTAAGAATACTTTCCTTAAGGATGAGCTAACCTAGGAAAGTGATGTTTAATATTTATTGCTGAAATACAGGAGACTGAAATCTTACAGTGGCATGTTGAAAAAAAGAAAGGAAAAGGTTTGCTTTTAAAAACACAGCAAACTTTGGATCTAAGCACTGATGTTTTTCATAATCCTTTAGCTTGGAAATTTACCATGCATGTGAAAAACGTGATCCTGAAAATTTTGAATAATGATCAGTGAGCAGCATCCTTTAAGAGTTTTTAACGCGTCATTTGTGTGTGTGTGTTTACCGAGGAACTGATAGAAACGCTTTGAAATCCTATCCATTTGAATTTGAAATCTTCATTTTACCTTGCTTTGGAGCTTTAAATTTTGAGAGAAATGTTTAGTTTCTAAAGGAAGCTGGCATATTGTGTTCTTAGCACCCCTGAAAAGGTCTTGCAAGATATTGAAGTAATTGCATGTTCAAGGGTGTGTTAACTGTCTTTATTATTCAGAATAGGCTTTTTATAAAACTTAAAGCTGATGTGTGAAGGCCTCTATACTTTGTTCTTCACTGTCATAACTTGAAGTTGAATAAAAGAAAAACACAGCATATTGGATTTTTATTTGTAAATCATAATTTCAGGGCCTCTAGGTGCAACCCCATGTTGAGGACACACATTTGTTTTTTAAATCTGCAGAAACTTAGAGGGCCAAATACTTCATTTAAACAGTGAATATGATAATAGCATGATCTGTGTGTGTTGTAAGTACATTCATACTTTATAATTGTCCATTAGATGATCTTCACTTGTGCTTTCCTGTAATTGGGTCAGTAACTACTATCAAATTCATTTTATTCATGCATGAAAGAGAGACATTTTATGAATTAGAACTTGAATCAAATTCCTGTGTTGATTTTTTTCCTTTATTGACTCAGTTGACTTTGACTTTTGAGATTCATGGCTAATAACACTCAAAGAATGTACCTATCTACTTCAGCTAGGTAATTTTAATTGATTTTAATTCCTTTTTTGAAAGCATATTGTTGCATATAAACTTTTGACTTACTTTTAATAATATATTGAATTTTACTTGTTTTTCTTGTGGGATTGGCTGAAATACAAATATAGCACTCTGCTTTACTAACTTGATAAGGTGATTTGTAATTAGCATTTGTACCTTTTAATTAGGACATCAGAAGTTGTAGTAGGTCTAGTTTACAATTAGCATTGTTTTCATATGCATGACACGATACAACAAAAACACTTATTTTTTCTTAATGTTATGTTAGAATAAACCTTGTTGATGTTCTATGATTTGTTATAAAATCTTTACATAAAGTACTTTAAATATAACCTTGTTCTGTTTATGTAGTGAGTAAACATAGCTTTCACAGCGAAGTTATAAGAGGTGAGTTTTTACTAAGTCAAGTCATGAGAGGGCAGTTATACTTGAAAGCATCTGGGTAGTTTATTAAATGGTACTGAACTATCAGGGCCGAGTTAACCTCTGTGGACAATCAGGTGGCCGCGCACCATAGAGCTGACCTGCTCAGGGGCAGTTAACCTACTGGTTCACATCACATTAAGGAGCCACTGAGATGATGGGCCAGGCCTACCTGTTACTGGAGCCCTGGGAAGGAGGCAGATGCCCTTGCTCCGGATCCAGCTCTGCCATTGAGGGCCAGCATTCAACTTCTAAGCCTGAGCCCAGCTCTGCGTCTCAGTGGACAACCTAGAAGAAATCATCTCTGAATGCCTCCTAGCAATAACTTTTTAATTTTTTCCTTGCTTTGCTTGATCTCTGTATTGTTTTCCTAAATACATTTCCCTAAAGACAGGAAACGTGTTGTGCTTTGACTTAAATTAGTAGACAGGGTTAATCTACTCTCTGATTTGGCCTGTTAGATTTAGTTCCCCTACCCAGAGAACTGGGTTTGCTCTTGAATCCAGGCCCTGAAAATAAAAGGAGAGTCTTTTTCAGACAGGCTGGCATGGTCAGAGACGGAGACAGCAGATAGTTCCAGCACGTTTGCCTCACTGTAGATTAAAACAAAACATAAGACAAAGTCTTGTGTTCTGGAAGTAAATCTGAAATAATCTTGAAAATTCTTGCCTGTCAAAGGCTTTCAATTATTCATGGCCATTTAGACTAAATTTTGTGACATTTTCAAAACCAGAGATGAGAAAAGTATAGGCTTCATTCTCACAGCGGTAATGACACCCCTCACTCGCAGTAAGATCTTTGTATTTCTGACTTGGCCACCTTTTGCCAGAGCTCTGTGGTGTTTGCTAGAGACAGTCTTGCTTAGTCAAGGATCGGCAGTACCTGAATTCTTGAATTCCTTTCCCAGCATACAACCACAATATACTCACTGAGTCCTGAACTAAATGTTCAGAGAAATGCTATAGTCCTGGATGTTAAAATTCATCAAGATTTCAGTGATACACAAGATAGCTAAAACAACTGTACTACTAATTTCTATTAGTTTATTGAAAGGAACAGTTAATGTTTAATTGTTTGATCAATCTTGAATGCCTATATCTGGTAATCTGAGCAACTACTTTGAAGATAACAGTAAGTAATAAAACAACCATTGCTTATTTACTATCTTGTTTTGAAATTGTGTATTGTTTTTATAGTTTTTGTGTTGTTTTGTTTTTGTGTTTGTTTTTGTTATTGTGTTTTTGTTCTTTTCTCTTAAAAAAAAAAAAGATTTCAGTGGTAGGAACAGTGACACATTTGCCCAGCTCTGTAAGTCGCACCCACCTTCCTGCCTGCCTTTCTGAGCTCAGCCCAGTCCTCCTGCCTCCGGAAAAACCTCTAGCTGTGCCAGGAAGACTAAACTCTCCTAAGACATTTGTGCCTTTCCTTTGTCGCAATAATGAGCTTGTAACACCTCATTTACTTATGTGACAGATGTTTATTGTCACTCACTCTAATGTCAATCCCATTAAAATTGATCAACATTGTATTCCTAGAGTCTAGCATGCACCTCCTGCATAAAGATGTGTTGCATCAATCAATTAAGAAGGTAGAAATAAAAATAGTGTAAACTGATACAAATTTTCTTATGGATATTGACATGTTTCTTCAGTCTGCTTCTGTAAACTGAAAAGTTGAGAGTAGTTAAAAGTCTCTGAAAGAAATCTCACTGTTAAAAAATATTTTGGGAATTTTCTGCTTAGAACTTGTTCTATATGTGGTGTTTGTTTGTTTTTGAGACAGAGTGTCTCTACGTAGTTCAGGCTGGCCTTGAACTCACAGCACTCCTCTTGTCTCAGCCTTCCAAGTCCTCCAATACAGGTGTGCACCAGCTACCTCTCCCACCCTGCCCTTGGCATTGTTTCTTCCTTTGTTTTGTCCCCCTGCTGCCTATTCTAGACCATGTGTGTCTTATCTAAAATGAACTACCCCTCCCCTGGACCTTTTACAGTATTCAGACAGTTATTTTGTTTGTTTGTCTGTCTGTTTGTTTTAGGACACAAGGTCTCCCTATGTTGCCCAGCTGGGCTTCTGTAATTCTCCAGCCTCAGCCAGCTTAGTTTTTAAACTACACCTACAGCATTACTTTATCTAATTTCAATCACTTTGTAGCCTACATCCTTATCTACTCAATTTTCCTCCAATAAAATTGCATAGATGTCTGGAAATCCAGCAAAGATGGCCTTGTTACAAATGCCTCATGTGGACCCTTGGGCAGGCATGACATGGTAATTTTAAACCAGTTAAGAACGGAATCAAATCTTGTAAATGATATTCGAAAGTCTTAACTTTGTCGGTGTTGGCAAAGGTGGACTTCACAATTTACCTTTGTGTGATCTGAGTTGGGTAAGTTCTATACAGTGCTGTTGTACTAGTATGGATCTACTATAAACATGTCATTATATTCTTCATGCCAACTGTGTACCTAAGAATAGAATGATACGTTTTGTATGTTTGTTTGTTTTCTGCATGTCAAAATACAAAATAGGCCCTGGAAAAGTTAAACGAAAACTTGGGTATGTGGACTATTTGTAAAGAATGTATTAGTTGAATTAGTGAATTCTAGTGTACCCACTTTTTCTTTCTGCTGAGACTATAAGATGTTTGTGTGTTATTATGTGGCATTAATTTTTAGCTAAGGATCTGCCATCTAGGCATCTTTAGGCACTTTCAATTTCTGATATTTATGTATTTTCATGAGGTAGTCAGGGAGTATTTTTTAAATTGCATTTTAAATAAAATCTTTTGATTTAGAAGACACTAGGATCACACTTAGGCAGAGTGACCCTTGCGAAGCACCTGCAGG